TTTTTATGCAAATTAATAATAAAAAAACAATAAATATATCCTTAAAAAATCCCTTAACTAATTACTAATATAAAACTTCATGATTGTGATGTTTAAATAATTGCTAATAAAAACGTCCCCCTTTTCAACCATCTTTTGCATGATTATAATATTTAATTAATTGCTAATATAAAACTTCCCTCCTTGATCCCTTTATCTGCTAAAGGAAATAATACATCATTTTTACACACTTAAAAGATGAAAATGAAATGCGATTCAAACAAATTATCTTTCTTATAATGCTTGTAGAGATTAAGAAATTAAAATTAAGATATCTTAACAATTAAAAAATTAAAAATAAAAATATAATAATACTTTTAATGAATTAATACATTAAAAAGATTTAAAAAGATTTATTAAAAATATTTCAACAAATTCTTAATAAAGGCAAATGCGCATGATGTCCTTAATGTTCTAGATATCAAGAAAAGTTTTCTTTTCTTGACCCTAATTCTTTCGGAAATACTCTAGGAGAAGTGGAGCGAAGTAACTAACCGCCGGCTTAAACCCTATTTCCTCTGGTTTGAGGTTTTTAATTTATATTTTATAAAAATGAGTAGATAGACATTTCGTCCCTAAATTTATATAGGGATTTCAATCAGGTTCTGAACTTTTCGTCAGATCAATTGGGTCCCAAACTTTTTAAATATTTTCATTGAAGTCTTTTAAACTGTTTTTCTCCGTAAAAACCAAGGAGGAAAACTAACAAATACAAAAGTGAAATCCATCGGCTTAAGCCCAAAAATAGTTTTTCAGACTTCGTGAAACCCGCCCACCCTCCATTGAATGCGTTTCATTATCTTCCTTTTATTAAACATTTAGGCCCTATTTTAATTTTTTGAAGAATAAAATATAATGCTGACGCAATTTTTGAATGGTTTCAATTATTTCATCTATCCTAAAATAATAGATTTTTAATTTAAAATTTGTTTTAAAATAATACTCTTTTTATTCAATTTTAGTAGTTTTAGTTTGATATTTTTACTTTTCAAATATAAATTTCAGATAAAAACTTTACATATTATATAAATAATAATTAATTTTTTTAATGAAATGAAAATACTCAACAAGAGTTATATATAAGAAAAAAATTCAATAATTGTTCATATAAATTATTAAATTTGTATCTAAATTTTATATATAAAAAATTAAAAAGTTAAATTAGGATTCTTAAAGTTAAACAAAGGGAGAGAGTAGTTTTTTTTATACTTTAAGGGAGGTAAAATTTTTTTTTAATTTAATCTTATCATTATTACTTAACTTTAATTATTTATACTATCATTAAAAAGTTAATTTATTTTTATTTTTTAAAATATAAAATGGATAAAAATAAAAATTATTTTCAAATCTTTAATATGAATATAAAGTTGAAAAATATTTATTACTCTAAAATTGAGGAAATAGCTCTCAACATTAGAGTGGAGAGTCTTAACTTGACTCTCAACATATGGATTGAATAAAAGAAAACAAATAGGAATAAAGTGGTATATTTGTTGAGACTCTTGCTCTCTAGATGCTCTTGTAAGCAGAAGAGTCCTTGTTTCTCCCCAAATTGATGCCTAGTATATTGCCGCTGCCGTTAATTTGTGATTAAGGTACTAGCTTGGTTTTCACGGTTTAATTATTGGATGTAACTATATGGTTGGGATCAAAATATTGTAGGAATTAAGCACTTGTAGGAAGATGGCTGATTGTATGTTTTGTGGCTCAAGAGAGCCCAAAAGATGCACCATAAGTTCTTGATTTGGGTTTCATAAATGAAGGTCAATAAATGGAACGTTTGCAGCAATTCGCGCAAATCATAGCTAGTTTTGTGAACTGTTGGCTTAATGGTTCCCCATCTAAGCTTTGAGTTTTGGACTTTAATAAATCTTGCATTCCGAACCCAAGCAATTCCCTTTGTTTGGAAAAAAAAAAAAATATATATATATATATATATATAATTTTATAAGTTTTTTAAATAATAAGATAAGTAACTCAACTTTGTAAGTATTCAAACTTCAGAGAGAATGAAAATTTAATTTTTTTTGTAGTAGTGTTGAAATTATACAAAAAATTATATAATAATATTGTTCTTCTATTATTACTCACGTTCTAGTTATCAACAAAAGTTTCTTTTCTCTAAATAAAAAATTGTTTAGTCCCTCTCCTTTTATTTAATTATTATATCATTTTCAAACAATTATTATGTTCATCCAATTA